TATTAGTATAACTTCCCTTGAAGCTACAAAGATGAGGAAAAAATATTGAGCAATGGTTTATTGATGCATCAATCAATCGTCTCAAACTTGACTGTTCCTTTCGCAAATATCAGTCTGTCGTCTCAGATTTTCTTGTTCATGCATTTTCATAAAGATTGCTCTCCGTCCCCACTCTTTCCCTCTCGAACTTCGACTGAAATGCATTCTATGTCTGACCATCGTCTTATTCTACTTATATGGGTATAAGTAGTGCACATCACAAAAGCATTAACGAAAATACTCAATTGACATTGAATCTCAGCTACTATAGACACCGTCAACGGATCGCACTGTAAATCCAGAACATTCATTGACTCTCATTCGGAATCCCATATATATTTGCTCTTTACCATGACCTAACTAACAAGCTGAGTGATTGCTGGATACCTCCAAAACAGCTGTCTTGAAATATAAATAGGGGGACTCCGTAGAAGAAACCATATAGTTGTTTCTACGTGTATATAACAGAACCCTTAACAACAGAGCCTAAAAGCAAAGGAAGCACAACGGACAAATATTTAACAAAGAACCGGTTCATATGTCTATGTACTGGACACAGACCTGGGATAGAGTGATTTAGATGGAGGGTAATATTATATTGGGGAGAAAGAGTTATCTTTGAAGTGATTATGAAAAGGAACAGTTTGTTACTCCATAGGTGCCGGTAACGCGGTGGACCCAATGAAGATGCACCAGAAGAATCTAGACCAGCCCTGAAAACTCTCCTGCTTGCCGTTAAAATTTCAAGAGCAACTCCATAGAGGATATAAAGCCCAATACTGACAGTATTACAGAAACTTACAGGAAAGTCGCCTTCACTAAGTACATGTAGTAAGGGCAGGTTGTCAAATTCAGAGGGAGTGAACGAACTGATTTGTTCATATTGATTTTAGTTTTCTAAATTTCTTTATGCCTTAATATTTTGTTCTCTGTACAAGATGTACGAGGTTGTACCAAGTACCTATTTACTGCTAGTTCCACCTCGAGTATAAACATTTCTTACAGTTTGACCTTTTCTCGTGTTAGCTTGTGGGATTTGGGGTGATTTGTGTTGGTTCCTGTTGTCGACTGTGTAACAGAACCAACAGTATTATAACAGCCCAACTGTTCCTAATTTCACAAGTATTTTAAGCTGATACAAGACTCCAGCTAATGATATAACAATAACTAGGCAGGATCATTGATAATCGTAGAGGGCCTGGTCAATTCACGAGCCGGTAAAGCGAGGAGAATGTTCATATAACCTTAGAATATTTGTAACTCAAAGGAACTGTCACCCAATGTCAAGATCAGGACGTTCAATACTAACGCCAATTCAGTCCTATTGTTCAGAGCTGGGACTTGAAAAGCTAATGATACAACGGATCAATCAAAACTCGCTTAGTCGAAGGTCACTTTGCATCAATCGAAAATCCCCCAAACGAGAAGTGTATGTACTGGTCAAGAAAATTTCTCCTTTTCCATGGAGTAAATATATATAAATGAATGCTTATGCATGTGATTCGGTTGGTCCAATAAACTCCCTCCATTTTTAGCCTTTTCACTCAGTGGACGATTGGAGTTTGCATATGAGAATTTTACTTATTAGCCTCAATCTCATACATCAAGCAACATAACAATACCAACATCATCACCAAAAAGATATAGATATCTCCGACCAACTGCCCATGCAAGATACCACAGATTCATTGACCAGGGGACATCAGTAATAACATACTCTGTCAGAGAACAAACCGGATGCTAAAAGAGAAAGAAGTTAAGAAAAGATACTGGAGGTGGATAAGATATGTTATGATGAAGGAATAAATCCTCGTTGCAGAAAAAGCCCATACTTGATAATCTCCATGTCAAAAGAAAGGGGTCATATCAAAGAGACTGGCCGGTGATCCGTAGCAGATATCGGGCTCAAAAATAGAACCTAACAGGAAATGGGAATGAGTGCCGGGAGTGGAGTTTTACAGAGATCCATAGTCATCATTCTACATCCGCGGGTACCGCAGTTGTCAGTGTGTTGTGATGAAAAATTACGGACAATTAACGTTTTTGACAGTTATGTTGTGAGTAAAAACGTCAAAACACAAATCGCTTCGGCGTGTTTTCCAACTGAATGAGTTACAGCTACTCATTATGTAATCTAAATGAGCCATCGGGGAAGCGGTCGTACTTCTAACTTTTAATTTATATACATGTCACCGATGTTCAAATACATGTTTATCCTCACGTAGCAACCCATATCCATCGGAAATAATTAAATGTTCAGGACTGTTATTTGTTACCCATGCTTTAGCCTGCGTTCTCTATCTGCCACAAAATGTCCAATTTAAATTCGAACATTCAGAAATACACCGTTGTCTTTTAATAACTCATTACCATCCATTTAACTACTCATGTAAGATTTTTCTCCGTTCACTTGTGTTTATGCTTATCAATGAAAGAATCCCTGCTTTACTCGCTCCATACATAACATCAAAGTTTGCTTATTCTTTAACAGTGACTTATCATTCTCATTCACCCATTTTCGCGGACCATATTTAATCTTAGGTCCATGACATAGGTAACGCTCATGTTAGCTCACGACTGTTTCACAAATTGTATAAATTCTACTGTTATTTCCTATTTGACAACAAATTTCGTTTCGCATATATTCTGATCCTGGCGACTGTAATCTTAGTTCACAACTCTTCTATTTACCTGCTCAAATTGGTTGACTACTTCAACGCTGCCTTCCAGTAGTATCCGCATTAAGTGACCTACGTCAGAGATGCGATCTACTGTAGTCTAGTAACTTGGTGGCACTCTATTACTTACCTGAAGAATCAAGTGATGCAACTTACTATTACAAAGAAAGCGTAACATATGCGTTTGCAGATGTTATCTCCTTATTTTGTGTGAGTGCTATATTTCCCTCAGTGAGCGGTGTATGAATTTCGTTTGTTTGTCTATAACCAAACCACTCTATTTACTACACAATGTCTCAGAATATACCTGATGTATAAACAGTTTAATTGGTTGCTGAGTTGTTTGCCAAGTCTTTTTCTACAGTTGAACGGACAGTAGAATTCTTATAACATCAGAGTCTCCGAACCCTGAGCTTACCTTGTCGCCAAACACAGCAAGCGATAGATGCAACCTCGCATTTATTTGTTATCAAGATAACCAAAAAAGCAACTGAATACAGTATAAACGCCACAGTGGCAGGTTACTGGATGGCTCGATTCTGGTAAAGTAAACTTGGTAGTAAATACTTTCCTACATGACCTATTTTTGTACACTTTGCAACATGACAGTAATTGCCATGAAATTATAGCCTAACAATCAACAGAATTCGAAGGCGTCGAACAAGCCTAGTAGTCAGTACGCCACCTCTCTTAGGAATTTTCTTTTATTGGGTGACAGAAAGACTGTAATCTCCATGACAAACCTTAACTTTACGAGAAAAAGCACCACCTTAAATTCAACAATCTTTATAACAGCTTGGTTCCGTCTATAGTTTAGGGTCATATACAAAATAACTGTGGTTCGCTCCGTCAGCTGTATAAGTGAAGGGACGTTTTAAACAAGTTCGACCGTAATGTACTAGCCGCTATTGTACGGTGTGTGTAAGTAAATCTTGTCTCATAATTATTGTCATTGTCGTTCTCGTGTGCTTAACAAGCTTTTCGTAACCAGCTCTAGAGATTTACTTTAGACCAGTCTGATTTTGAGATGCTGCGAACTATCAGCCGACAACTGAATTGACCTAATATTGTAATAACTGTGAGCAGTAACTGGAAGTATCATTATATAGCACCACTTTCTGTAATCAAGTAAATATGTCTATAAGCCAGAACTTGGAAAATGCACTCGTTCTTTTGATGGACTGATTTCTAAGATGAATGATTATGTAAGCTCCTAATACTAATGCTACCTTTATTTTTAGCGGACATTTAAAGATGAAAACGTTTGGCCGCGGATATTTACTACTTCCTTCCAAGGTGTAACGCACATCTCAATCCAACTATAACCGTTTTCTTTCTAATTGTCTTTCCGTAGCCAACTTAAGGAAGTTCGATACGAGCATCGTTCGACCCCTTCATAAGCTGCAACTGACGATACTGATTTTCCAACTAAATCATAATTTAATCTCACAGCGTGCTATGTTTGAAGCGAGTATGAGTTCACCCAATCTACAGACAGAACAAAGACTCTGTGACCAAAGACCAATAAGCTAGATAATCTGATGTATCCCGGCCCCGCTAACTACAGAGAGAAATCGAAGTCTGGAACGGGGAAGTATATTCCGGAAGTATCCAGAAGCATGAGCAATCCCGACCCGTCTGGTCGGAAACACACCAGTTAATATACTGGTTTATACACCCATTTTTAATTAATAACCATAATGAACAACGTATATGAATATTTCATACAAGAATATCATATGTTATACAGAATAAAATGTCATAGGCGATGACGAAACATATACTATGCTGAGTGATCATCAAGTTGAATTAAACGGGATTAATATGGAACAAAAATTATAATGAATAAATCAATAAAATTTTGACCTTTCATCCCGTCACAACACGACAAGAACCTGGATTTCAGACCTGACAAGTTTCTCTTTCGAGAAGACGAAGTTCACTCCTTCCTCGATAAATAAATCGCTGTCAAGAGTGCATATGTTTCATGAAAATGCAAAACATTACAAATCCTGCAAAAAATTGTTACCATGGCTTCTTTTACAAACTGAGCCGGTTTTGTTTTAATGTACTAACACTCTTAGGAAACCCACTTTGGACTTCCGCCATTTTGTTTGTTTGTTGAAGGTGGTTTTTGTTGTTTTAATTACCATTTTAATGTGTTTGGTGATGGGTGGGAGGATCGATTGGTATATGGTTTATTCATGCTTGACGTATAATCATACTAGTGTGAGTGTCACACGGCCTTGTATGTTTCTGAAGATATACTGTAGCATTCACGATGATTCTTTGTTTGACTTGGCGATGTAAGTTATGTGTAACGTTAAGTCGTTACATACCATTCTGAATTATTCGGCTTTGTCTACTTAACTGTCCCTTTGTTAGAAGAGGAGCGTCCCTTCAGATACTTAGCTTGTCTGACTATTCGGTGTACAGGTGTTTATTAGCATGGAATGTAAGATTTTATGTTAGGGGATCCCCGTAAAATCAAACAACCTATTATTTATGACTTTATTTTAACCATTGCTCTCTAGCGTTTAGCATGTGGGGTTTGTATTCTACCTATTAACATGAAATGTTACCTGGTGACTCCCGGGTTTTTCATTAAGTTCGGACCGCTCTTCTGGTTATATAACATATACCATTATGTTATTGTCTCCAGACTCAACCTAATCACTTGCAGTAGTTTTCTTCGAACAATGTTGAATAAAAAAATGGTTAGGAATTTCATCCTCCGCATACAGAATAACCTAGACTATGGTTGTTCATGAGTTATCCACCAGGCTTTATTTGGGGTGCTGATGTTGACATCTAATCTATTGGGAAAGTCGAGTAGTTCTGTGTAGTATCAAATAACATCTCCAATGGCCTAATATATGTTCAGTGGTGCTATGTTACTTGATAGCAATGCTGCTATGGACTTGTTTGATTTTGGAATATTAATTTAATCTTAATGTGACTTCACTATGAACTTACTGAGAAAACCTTATGCCTGGTTCAAAGCGTGATCATCATGATAGTTCTCTCAACTTCGCACTACAGATCATCAGTTTGAGTTGATATTCACTGGTCAGTCTATGTAAACAGCACATCCTTTAGTGACAGATGTCGGCATCTCTCATGGTTGGCTGAGACAACCTTGTCATTAAACCATACCCAAAACAGCCAAGATGATGGATCATCATGGTTATTAGACACTAGCAGAGAGTGTTGAGTCGGTATGTCATCGGTCTCGAGGGTTTGGTGCTAAAATCCCGGCGAGACTATAACCCCCATACCCATGAGACATAGCGATCGATTTTTGTTCGTCTTGATAATTTCATTGTGGGTCGGTGCACATACGTACCAGGTTGTTTGTTTATAATCTAGATTGGCATTAAATGCAACAACTAAAATCCTGGTTTCCAATTAAAATGTGATTTCGAATGGATGCTGTAGTGAAGTATACCCTATCACTGCCTCCTATGTCAAGATTTGGTAAATCGGAGTGCAGGGACAAAATTGACTCCTAAACTGACATCGAGAAAGTTCGGCCGGTTTTTAGCCAGTCAGTGGACAGATTTCGAGAAATGGCTGGTTATAATCATCGAAATAATTCGTCAACGGGCAAAATTAAGGCGCATATTGTAGCTGACTGACTGACTGATATAGCGATTTTACGTGCTTTACAAGTTTCTCAAAATTATTTAAAGTTTCTTGATGTTTGATGCTAACGGATGGTGCCTTTATACTACAAAAGAGGTGTCATTCATACCGCTTAGGTGTGAACTAACCATAACCACCAAAATTTGATAGCATTCGGTTCTGTTTCTTTACTACACAACTTTAATCGGATATTTCCCTTATTGGACATAGTTCCTAATTTGGCTCGTAACTGCTGTCATTCTTTTTCTGTTTTCGGAAAAGATCAGTATTACTCTTGACAGCTTTACTGAGTTTATCAGCGTCGAGTGACAGTAATCGACTTTTCCCTCTCACTTTTTGAAATTAACTGATTGGAATCAACATCCTAGTCTGATTTATTGTCCGTTGTAGTTAGTTTTTTATGCTTCCAACCAAAGCTTTGTACGATAAAGTGTTCCTGTTTAACTTGCCCGTTTCTAAGTGGTTTTATGCCTGTTCAATAAGTCGTTAAACTTCGGATTTTTACAAACAATAATATCACATACTTTTCTGAGTAAAATTCGTGTACGGACGATCGTTGAGTGATGCTTAAGTGATACTGAAAACGTTACCTATTTTCTAGGGCCAAATGAGGGTGATAAATTAGTGTGAAGAATTAGGATTGAGATTTACAGTCGAATGTTAATGTTAGAAATTAGATCTTCGGTTTTCATTACTAACTGACACCAGCTATCATGTCAGAGTTCTATTTGGATGAATGAATTTCGCGCCAAAATCGAAGACTGGTTCGTCCACTAATTCTAGTATCACCCTTTTCTGTTCACCAGATTTTATCATCTTATTGGGATGGTTGTCATCTGATTAACTGGTAGCATCCATTAACTTTTTCCACCCCCCTAACCTTTCTCACCAACAACTGTTGCATTTGGATCTAGATCGGCTTCGTTTTAGCATGGTCTACATCCTAGAGTTCTGTGAGGCTTGATTAACGGACCCATATTCATTACATTCTGGCTGAACGTTTAACTTGTTTGATAGAAATCAGAGTATTCTTTAAAATACTCAGTGTTGATCCTCCAAGAACACCAATATCTTTGTCAAAAACGATGTTCTTACGCTTTCAAGAGTTTCCCTGTCGAAAGCGAGTTGATTGTCTCCTGAATCAATCGACTTGATGAAGTGGCAGAATCCACAAAATCAGTGAGTTTGGCTTATGATACTGTTTACATCCAGCAAGTGCTGCGTCATTACACTTGATAATAACATCTATATTGTATCCCATTTTCAGCTGAGGTGAATGGAGTAGATCATCTACGTCACCATAATGGACAACCGCAGCCTCCAAGATATGAAATCGTGGAGTGGTGACACTGGTTAAGGCTTCCGACTTTCAGCCATCCAGGTTCAAACATTACCACATCTGTAAAACCTTGATCACAGATTTAGCATCGTTTTATAATTTTGATTTTTCGAGCTCGTTTTTTCGAGGGATTTTTATCATTTTATTTTCCAATGGGGTTCATACAACTTCGGCACCATTACTGTTTCAATTATTTACGAATTTTTCGTGATAAACGATGCAGACATGTTAACCGTTAGTACACAACATTGGTACTCTTCTCTATCGCATTACTAGTTATCTTGCTTGTTATCAAAAAGTTTGTTCTAGATGTGTTACGCTCGTTAAACGTTTCCTAAACATGGGAAAATATAATTGCGCTTCATTAGTTTTCCTCTCTTTTAAACAGGATATTGTAAACACCAAACTATGTCAGACCAAATGGTTGATCCTAATGAACCATCAGCGTACATTGCAAATGCTGATGGTACATACACAGCCATACCGTTCAGTCAGACTGAAGATGGGCAAGTGGTATTGCAGCTAAATGAGATGGGTTTGTCCAATGAAGGTGAAGAAATGGTTCTAATTGCTGCTGATGACACAGCGACATTGGAAAGTCTGATTGCTTCGGGTGCTGTTACAGCTATTGCTGCTGAGAACGGAACAGAGTATCTACAGGTAATCTTCCAATATTTTCAATGCATAATACCTTTTAGTTCACAGATCCTGGTATGGAAGGGGCTCAGGTCATCGAGTTACCAGCAGATCAAATGCAACTTTGGGATCCGAATTCTAAAGCATACTATGATGCATCAGGTATAGGACCTGGTTTCGTTGCTTTAACAGGGCAATCTAGTGGTGTCACTTACCGTTGTCCATCTTGTCCAGCTATGTACGCTAATGCTAACGCTTTTACTAAACATATGCGCGAAAAACATTTCGTTAAAGTTTACACATGTCGTCAATGTGAGGAGTTTTTCGAAACTCTCAGTCAGTTATTTCTGCACGCTCGACGCAGTCATGTTGATCCTAAAAAACCAAAACGAAATCCGGCCAATTTCAAATTTCATTGTGACCAGTGTAACTATATGACGAATAATGGTGGGACAATGGAACATCATAAACGGGCACATACAGGAGAAAAACCTTTTGTTTGTGATGTTTGCAATAAACGTTTTGCTCAGAAAGCAAATATGAAAACTCATCGAAATCGACATATTCACCGGGACAAGATATTCCGTTGTGACACGTGTAATAAAGCTTTTTCATCTTATGACATTTACCTTGCTCATCTTCGAACAAGAGAACATGAACTTAGGGAACATTTCGCTATGATGGCATCTTCACAGGTGAGCTATATAGTATACATAATAGTATAATTTAACTAGTTGGCTTTAGAGTGTTTGGGTTGTGCAGTTACCTTCGATAGCATATATAACCTGAATAAGCATACAAGAAGCTGCCGTATTGTTCGTACTCTACAAACTAAATTTCGGTGTTTACCATGTAATGCCTATGTCAGTGATGTGGCATCATTGAAAGCTCATGTAAAAGCCCACGAAGGCAGTCAAATCATATCGTGCCCTGTATGTGGTGAACGCGGATTCCCAGGTTTCAATCAACTAAATCATCATATTACAAGGGCTCACGCTTTGAAAGTTAATCGTCGCCACGTTTGTCGTTATTGTGAATCCACTTTCGAGATTAAGAAAGACTTAGATATGCACATTCGAAGTATGCACGCTGAAGAAAGAAACGCTCGTCAATCGAGGGGAGCTGTTGGTCGCCTGAAATGTCGATATAACCATTGTGAATTCACAACGAATTCGATAATGTTGTTAGATCGACATCATGATCAGCATCGACGTCAGGAAGAAGATGGGGAAGATGTTGGACTTGAACTTCCTCCTGCTCGTTACTCATACACAAAACGGAAAAAGCTAAAGTTGTCCAAGCGAAATCGGCTTGTTGATGGATACGAAGATGATGAGGATGCAGAGACTGGTGATGGCGAGGGAGATGATGACATGGCTGATGATGAAGATGATACTTATGATGATGTTGGTGTAGATGGTAGTAAGTCTATTTTCTACATGATCAATTTTTTTATCCCTTAATTATTATGTATACATTGTATTATTGATGTGTATCCATAATAACTGTTACCTTAATGTTGTGTTCAAATACGTCTGACATTGTTTACTATGATCTGTTCGCCAATAGCGATACAAGTGATATAACTATCCTTCAGAGGACAAGTATATTGCTTAGAAATCCGTTACGTATTCAAGAATCCAAAATATGATATCTAGTATTCAATTGCACTTGTCTTTGAAGCTTATCCTTCTAATGGTGGGACTCACGGTTAGACTTACAGTTCAAGGTAAAAGTGGTAAATTGGTTAATGAAGTTGTAAGCCTTAATCGACTTAGTCAAGTGTTACAAATTTCTTATTTCACCGGAATGGTAGTTGGGCTTTTGAATCACTCAAATCTCAACTAGTGGGCGTCAGGCTCAAACATTACCTACATACTTCGATTTTGAAAGCTAGGTAGTATCATAGGCTTTGCGTCTAAGTGTAATCTAAAGCTAAACTAAACTAAACTTGGGTACATAGGAAATATCAGTCATAACATGGTTTGGTCCTTCTTACTTACTAGCACAGAAGTATATTAGAGAACGTCAAACGTGGCTAGACGAATACGTGGTATCAATCACTAGCTATTAGCAGGGGCCGTTCAGAAGGATGCAAATGTTCTGACCACTCCCCTATCAAACAACCAAAACAGTAGTTAGGGACTAAAGGAATATAACTTGAAGTCGATCTAAATTTTCAATACTTTCTCTTGAGTCGGTGTCTTTTTCTTCCATTCACTTGCTTATTTTGCTTTTACAAATTAGTTCTGTATTATCAGCACTATCGTTAATTTTACTTTCTGTTAATATCCTATCGGTTCTTTCAAATGAGATTTAAACACTTCAACCGATATATGGTTTTGCACTAGGTCTGTCCATATGCTTTATATATTGACTTTTACCGGTATTCCTTTACAATCCATCAATCCAGGAATGTTAAAATATAAAAATCCTGTTCAAATATAAGTTCGAAAGGCTAACTCTACAGCTTACAATGTCCGTGTATCCTAAATGTTTTTTTTTGTGAAACATACGTTAGTTTAGTCTCAGTCCGGTAACATGAATAACCCTCAAATAATGTACATCAAAACCGAGTAGATAAACTTGTACTTGGTAAATAATTTACATTAAATCCCGTTAAGTTTTTATTTATCATCCAGTAACATAAGAACCCCTACTGATTATAAGCGATAAAAATTTTGACAGCATACTTTACTGAATCTTTATCTACAATATTCATTTTAGTGTCTCTTGCATATTATGCATTTATTCAATTGTCATATGATCTTTTTAGACGTTACTAGACGTACTATTACTCTTATAAAATCCAATACTCGTAAAGTACAAGGCAATGAAGAATACACTTCAGGTAAGTGTTGATATTTTGATTCGATTCACGAATAAAAATTCTAGGTAGTACAGGTGGTGTTGGTGTTTTAAACGAAAGCAATACAACTAATCGTCGTATGTCTAGAGCACGTCGTCTTCCGGCTTGGTATAAAGATTACGATACTGATTTTGTTATGCATGAAGAGGGTGTAATGGACAGGGAAGAAGTACAAGCTCAACTTCCACCAGGTATAGAATTAGAAGACCCATCTGCTGTAGATAAAGAAGATGTTCCGACAGAGGAGTGGAATATTGTTGTATATGATGATGATGATGACGAAGATGAAGATGAAGATAGTCCTATAGATTATGAAGATGAAGATAGTAATGTCATAAACGATAGTAGTACCTGTGATACTACTGGACTATTAAATGTACATGCTTTTGCATAATTAAGAAACTCCCCTCCAGTATACAATATATATGTACAGGTTTGAATTAAGTTCATTATCCATCAGAATATGTGTACAGCTCTTTTAATCATAAAATATTTAAATATATGTATAATAAAAGGTTTTATAATTTGACACTTTCTAGTTTTTTATGTCTTTTCTGTTATTATTTCAGAGTATCTATTTACTTCATGTTTATATATATATATATTCCTGTTACAGTTTCTTTGTTATGACTGTTCGTTCTCATTGTATTTGGCACTTAGTTTTCTTTGCATAGAATAAGTAAAACTGTTAGATGTTTATCCTCCTATATTTTTCTTCTATGAATTCATTCTCACCTAAAATTCATCAGTCATCATATATTTCTCATTAACTTGTGTGTATTTTGTACTCCATGAATAAACTGGCAGCATTTATTCAATAGATCTTCGAAAGTTATTATTGGATGGTATAAATTACAAATTATTTAATCTAACAATGATGTCTAATTCAGCTACATTTTTCTTCTTAAAAATACATTTCTCGTAGCATTCGATAGGTTCAGTTTATCAAAAAAATATTGTCTTTACTCGTTTGATAGGTGGCAAGGAGGTGGTTTGTGTTTTCACGAATAGGTTGTTTCTATAGTGTACAGCGCTCACCAAGAATTATTACACTAGTAGTAGTAGTAGTAGTCTGTATTAAAAAATCTTGGTCATAGTTAAGATACTTTAACTAACAGTGTACTCAGCTAATTAGGGTTTAGTTCATCTGTATTTATTGGTTTGTTGTTTACTCCTGATTGTACTAATAATTGCTCCATGGTTACATTTTAAATTGTCGGCATGTTCTCATTAGGTGAATCAATGTATCGCCCATGTATCCCACTTAGTAGAAAATTGATTGCACTCCTATCCACCTGATCCAGCAAAGGATTTTACTTTCATCCTTGTGTTTTTAACTAAATTTGCAAACCTGCGTCATTATTAGCCCTCAGTTAGCATGTTTCGAGCACACTGCCCGTGAGGTATATGAAATTAAAGTATATCTAGATCTCTTGATGTAGCCTAAAACGCAGGATGATCCTGTGTTTAGTTTCAGTAGGAACTGTAAATATGGATGTTTTTTTGTTTTATTTCAAGATATGATCTCACCATGGTCACTCTTGTATTGGAAGTTGAAGTTACTGCATATTTCCCGCCAGTAGTTTTTGCAATTTTATCGAATTCATGATTGTCAGTCGAAATTTTATAAGCTGTACTCAGAATTTAACACTGAAATAGACGACGATGAAGGTAATTAAAATCAAAGCATTTTTAAAGGAGTTAGCTTTCTATGGGATAATTTAACTAAAAACTCTAGTCTAATCGTAGTTCACAGGCTACATAATTTATTATTTTATTTTAACACATAGATATTGGTACAAGGAGGTACCAAATACATATGCGCCACACAAATCTCATTCGATATGTGTGAGGGCTGTGATACTGACCGGGTACCCAAACCGAAGCAGGTGGTTTTGTTAGGGGGCCACTCCACGAGCCTTCGACCCGAAGGCCTGATCCACAAGGCAGTGGGGCATCGTAAGGAGATGCAGTCCCATGGTAGCCGGTGACCAACAATTGGTTTACACGCCTTTTGTTCCTTGAGGATACTGGAGCCCATGTGCACCATTGATTCGGAATCGGTTAAAGCGCCGGACATTCGCTTTTCGTCCTCTCATTTTCGTAAACAACAGTAATGCCACGAGAAGGCAGTGAGTAGGACTTCCCTGACAGAGGCTATATACGCGTAGTCATGTGAGAGCATTTCGAGATGGAGAGTAAACTCTCCCCACTCTCGGCCATACCAGGGAATTTGGGGGCAGGCTACATAAATATTTAGTCCTCTTAAATATATTTAAACCTGCTACGACATGCTGATACATGTTAATAATTTCTGGTCAAATTCATTTGAAATTCTGATTTCGAAATATTTTCAAGTCGTAATTAAGTAGCTGACAAAAACCTAACGGGGTAAAATAAAATTGTGTTATCCTACCTAACCTTTTTTTCTGTGGGTACTAACTCGTAGTTCGTCGAATGCAACAAGAAATATCTTTTAATTAACAATCTGTAACAGTGTTTGTAGTGAAGAAGATAATATAATGTTAATCAAAATACAAATTTAGTTCTAGTGATGATTGCTTTGATGCTAAGTTCTTTCTATCCGAATAGTGACAGGATGATTGTTTCTTTCTGTGTATAACAACCCTGAAGACTCAAGTGATCTCTTAGATGGTCTTTATGAATTATAATAATGGAGAAGATTGACTTGGTAGATATTTCTCAAAGTGGTGTTTTTTTCAATACGTAGGTGGTTGCTTGAATTTGAAGGATATAACCAATGGGTTGGTATCTGAAAGTTAGTGTTACTACAAGATTTCAGCACTGGAGGTAGATCGATCAGGTTTCAAAATAGTTTTCGTATGATTGATAGTAAACCACGCGAAAAATATTACGTAGTAAATTTATTGAGGAAGGATTATTAATAACAGAAATTATATTTGACTACGAGAGCTCGCTTTCCGTATGTGTTTAAAGTGTTTCACGAAGTCGAACTACTTAATCAACAGGTATTAGTTTATGTGTCGGCTTATCACTAATAAAAGTGTGACTGTAGATGAGGATGTGTACCCTACTATGGCTGGTACTTCGACGCGATAGTCGGGATTGACTTTTCTGACGATACAGTAGGGCTGTATTGGTTGAGAAACCTGTTTGTTCCAGCAGCATTCCTTCGCCATCCCTTGTTAACCAATTCTAACCTGCTATTCCGCATGTGCGGCTAGTTTTTACGTTATAAGCCTACGAAATATTACTCCTGTAATCGAACCAGAAGGTACATGTTGATGTTCTGAATGTTAGGTTTCACTCCCGGGGACTACAATTCTGTGGTGTTAACTTATGCTATCGTTGAAACGTATGTGTAGTTATTTCACTATCCATAAAATGCCTTGAAAGCTAGTTCAACTGATTTTCAATTACTCAGTTTCTTCACGATCCATCAACATCGTGAATGGTAGATTATAGTCAAGCCTCCAAGACGTACTTAAGTTAGTATTATTTTGTCACAAATATTTTCGGAACATTGCTCCTGGATGATGACAGCTGGATTTTTGGTGTTTAGATCAAGTATTGTATACTAGGTGAGGACGTATTAGCTAACGAAGTTGTAAACTTTCATCGACTAAGGTAGTTGGAACATGTGTCACTTACGGTTAACGACAACCTACTCTATCTTATACTGGCTAGCATAACAGTAAATGAGGAGAAAGATGTAGGTGACCAAATAAAGACATGATATTAGTCCATAACGTCGTTGACTGTTCATTTAAATCGTATGGACAGATGGGATTTGAAAAGTAATATTTTATAGTTGAAGATGATAAGTAATAAAACAGTATCATATTAATGTTTTACGTAGTTATTAAGTAAATAAAAGTGGAATATCAGATTAAATACATCAACATAAGTTGTTTTTATGATTGATTGTCCGATTGAAGATTGTTTTACTTAGGGATTTACACATTCACATAGTAAACTTGCACCCATCTCAATCCAATATGCTTGAGGCTTATTTGTTTTCAATGGAACAGCGACTATGAAATTTGTTGACATACCTTAAAGTGAAGCAAAATAACAATGATAAACATGTGATAAATGGATAGATATCATATAAAAACTAATTATGATATTGATCTTCGATGGTTGTAAGGAAATTGGTAGAAATAGGCTCAGTCATTCGAAGCTGTAAACACTAGAGTTCGAATGTGCTAGATCTGAGACTGTCACCTACCAATAGTATTGGAAGATGGTCACGGAATGTCGCAGCTTGGTTGCAGCGAGATATATAAACAGACCACTGGGTACCGGTTTACTCGTCTAAAGGATTGGCGCTAGCTGCGGTACATAGAGGGCTGTGGGTTTAATCCTCAGTGTGGCTGTTAATGCACAATGTTCTGAAGTCTTACTCTAAAATTAATTGTCTGTTTATTGCTCCCAGATTTTGAAAGATTGTCATGTTAACTATAAAATGTCATTACTAATAGGTAACAAAACATGATATTTTTTTAATTCAGCAAAATAATGGGATTATTATTTGAGTTAAAGTAAATTTCACTATGAAATTTACTAAATGATAAAACCGAATATTTGTACGAAACTGATTTATGAACTTTAAAAGTTGACCTGAAGGTCTAATCCACAAGTCAATGGAACAACGTCAGGAGATGCAGTCTCATGGTAGTCGGTGACCAACAGTTGGTTCATACGCCATTTGTTTCCTTAGGATCCTGGAGGCTATGTACACCAATGGTTTGGAATGAGGGTTTTCGAACTCTCCTACGTGGATCCTCCATATCCAACAACCCGTTTATAGCACTGGACCTTCTCTTTTTGTCTCCAATTCCGTAAACAACACCCCTGTCACGAGAATGCAGTGAGTAGGACTTCGCTGGCGGTGATTGTATGCACGTGGCCGCTTGAGAGCATTTCGAGAGGGATAGAGAGTTGAATCTCCCCGCTCGGCCGTACCAGGGCATTTTGGGTCTGATTACATTACTTACTCCTGTTACTCTTCTTGGAGCATAGGTCTCCGACTATGATTTTGTCCTTAGCTCTTCTTTCTAGTTGTTTCCAACTGCTATTCATTCTTTTGATGTCTGCCTTCAATTCCAGTCGCGATGTATTCTTGTCTTTTTGCCTTCAGTATTTCAAATTAAGGCTTCCTTTGTGCTGCAGTTCAATGATTTTCACAGTGTATGCCCTAGTCACCTCCGGCGTCTTTTTCTAATTTCCTCTTTAGGTGTTAGACAGTTCGTTCTCTTCCATAGTAGTTTGTTGCCGTTGGTATCTGGCCAGCGAATATGGAGTATCTCGGGTAGACAATTGTTTATAAATACCTGTACTATTTTCGTGATGGTTATGGTAGTTTTCCACGTTTCAGCTCCAAACAGTAGGAGTCTTGACGTTTGTATTGAAAAATGTGATTTCGCTTTTGGCTGACAGTTGTTTTGAGTTTCAGATGTTCTTTAATTATAGGAATGATACGTTATTCGTTTACAGAAGTTAAATTATCATTGGTTAATACTTAATTATCTGAATTTTGAAGCAGTTGATGCTGATAAGTTTCAGTCTTAATGAATGCAAGTTTCTCTATTTAGTAAGTTCTGAATTGTAAGAAAATGTCTTCTGAGATTTCTATTGGTAGCCAATATCACTTATTATATAATGAGACTAAAAATTGAAGATCGAATTAACCATAAGAGTATCAGAGAACTAAACTGAATTCCAAATTGTAATATCGGACACCTGGTTAATGGTCATAGTAACTAGAGTTCATAGAGAGAGAGAGAGAGAGAGAGAGAGAGAGAGAGAGAGGGGTGATGGTCTTGATTTCCATTTCTAAATGGGTTGTGCTTATTCACCTCTGAAGAGTTTCCTATTTGGATCAAACAGCCTACCAATTCTACCTGCTTTTTATTAATACCTTAGATCATATCAATCTGTAACAAAT